CTCATTTGATGAAGGCTTATTTTGCTATGACATTAAAAAGGACTGATCACATCATTTTGCAGCAGTGGGTAACACACCTGTGACTCGGAGACAGAGGGGAAACATCTGACTGTGCCTGCGATGTCTTCAGCGAATGGGAATAAATCTCAAAAATCTGGATTAACCGAGAGGAAGTGGGAGGGGCATTAGAACTGCTTCTAACCACTTCAGCGTAGAAATGCTTGTAACTGCTGTGATCCTGTGGTGATGGATTTAGAAATTTGGACTAAGCATGCTCTGCAGAAACAAAGCACTCAGCAAAGAGAATGTGCTTTACACCAACTGTTTTCAGGTTCTCTGGAGTATGCTGATTGGGTGGGTACATTGCAGGAATGAGTCAGGATATCCCAGAACTCTAGCTCTCTGCTTCTACACAATATTTCGTCACATTAGGTAAATACTTACTACCCATGATGCGGTAAGATATGTGCAGACTGAGGATTCTGCATTCCCCTCCTGTCTTCACCTGAATTATAATCCAACTGATGAAATAAAATGTTGAATAAAACATTAAATATTAAGTGAAAACAATAATTACCATATTTGAAAGACTGTGGATGGCACATTACTATTTCTGATTCTGTTCTTTTTTTTTTTTTTTTTTTGAGCCGAGGACCGAACCCAGGGCCTTGTGCTTGCTAGGCAAGCGCTCTACCACTGAGCTAAATCCCCAACCCTGATTCTGTTCTTAGTGACACGTAACTCAGTGCTCAGGGAGCGGTGTTGATCAGGCTAATCACAGAAAACTTGAGTTTAGCAAGTAAATGCTAAACTCCTCTGGGTGGAGGCCTGTGGGTGTATGTTACAATATTTTCAAATATCTGTAACTCTTTTTTTTTCAGTTCATATATTCAATAAATATTTAGTACTAAGTTTTATAGTTTGCTGTAATTACTACTATGGGTTTGTCATATTTTAAGGGTTTTATTTCTATTATTTTTAAAGTTGACTTGAAATTGAATTTTGATAAACAGTGTTCTCAAATTTAGTTCATCTCTTTTCAGTACAAACACACATGCATGCACACACACATACACACACAAGTACACATAGGCTGTAGACAATCATAAAGGCAACTGAAATATATGAAGGTGTCGATATTTGAAGAATCTTCTAGAGTAGAGTAAAAGAAACAAGGTGATAAACCTTGATTCAAGGTAAAAGGGCAGAAAAACATGAATAACACACAGAGAAAATGAATTGAGGTAAAAGCACCATGGACACAAATCTTGAAGGACATGACTAGAATATTAGCTACATTTCAATTAGAAAGCGTGGAATTCTTAGCTGGCTGGGAATCCCTTGCTTTATCTTATAGAGAAATATTAAAATTATCTGGGCAGAGGATTGCTGTGGTAAAGCCAGACTGTCCTGTCAGGTCCATGAAGTAAGACTGAACATCCTAAATGTTGTTGGTAAGTACATTTTGGAGGTTATATATGATGGGAGTTTGCTCACATATGTTGATAGGTCAAATATTGTCTGGGTATATGTAAGTCTCTGTTATAATGAATTGTATTGAAAATAAGATTTGCTTTATTAAAACAGTTATTGCTATGGGCATTCTGATTTGTGTCATAATTTGGGGGTAATTCTCAAATACACCATTTTATTAGAACAGATAAATTTAAATGCTTTTTTTTTTTTTTTTTTTTAGAAACAGGTTTTCTCTGTGTAGTTTTGGCACCTGTCCTGGAGCTCGCTCTGTAGAAGAGGCTGGCCTCGAACTCACAGAGATCTGCCTGGCTCTGCCTCCTGAGTGCTGGGATTAAAGGCGTGCGCCACCACTGCCCGGCCTTAAGTGCTCTTTGAACCCCATGACTTACAAAGGTTCTTTATCAGGAAACGTCCTAACATTCAACTGGAATTTCATGGAACCCCAAAGCATGTGTCAGCAGAATCCTTAAAGCCAAATTCTTTTGTTGTCAGGACAGCTTTATTTATTTTTCAATAACTCCAGAATAATTTGCAGTATGTATTATTATATATTTTTACTCATAATATAAGTGGCTGCTCTTGCCCCATAATGTACATTAATACCTCTTGTTAAAATTTCATTTGAAAAAAAAAAAATAGGTTTTGCTACCAATTAGGAAATGACGGGAGTTTAGCATGTGGTTCTGGGCAGGCAGGGCCAGTGATCCTTTCTCAGTTAGGTTAATGCGTTCTGTAGTTCATTCAACACACGATATTTGAAAAGTTATTGTGCCGCATATTCGCCTCTTGTCTCCCAGCTCCATTTCCCCCCTCGTTGTCATCCCGGGTAACCAGGAGGCTGAAAGCCCGCAAGCTCCTTTCTTGACTCAATGTCAGATGGTTTCTAGTAGATTTTTTACCAATGGTCTATGCAGTGGAATTCTGAGAGATAAAAGGAAGAAAGGCGCCCTTTTCCTGCCTGCCCCAAGCCTCAGGACCTGCTTTCCTCAGAAGGGGATCCTGGCTCCCTCCCAAGTGCACTCCCAACGGGATCAGTGCTCTGATGCTCAACTGCTCCCTGCTTCCCAGTGTCTCTCATCAACACTGCCTCCACCAGACCCGCCCAGCCCAGGCTCTGGGTCATTCTCTTTTCTATGCTGTCTCACTAACCGCTGTGCTCCTGCTTTAGCTCCAAGCCTCTTCCAAGACCTCTGTGATCAGTTTCTCCTGTCAAACCACTTGTCCTAGCAGCACCTTGGGTGGTTCTTTCCGCATTTGGACATTGAACTCAGTAACTCTTGTGTGTAGGCATGGCAGCACATTTCAGAGACCATCATAGTCGACAGACTAAAAGCCTAGTCTCATAGTGCTACAGGAATCTAGTGAATACTCTATTATATACCAGTCATTGCCTAAATATAAACTCTACGTGAACTTTAAGCCTCAGTCTTTGGTTTGTTACTACACCGAGGGAAGCTTGAAGATGATCGATCAATTCTTCCTATGGATCCTGAAAACATAAGGTAAGAAGGTAGACTTCAGAGCGGCAATGGATTCCTCATTCACGGGGGATGTGTCCTTTTGACCTTATACTCTTTTTTTTTTTCTGTATTTCCTTTAGTTTTGATCTAAAAGACAATTTTTGTTGGCCGAAATGTTGACTGAAGAGTTCAGAGGCACAAAGAGAAAGGTAGAAAAAAACTTCCCCCAACTGAAATTAACAAACGCGTTTTTAATCTCCTTGGAGGAAATGCCTATCTCACTGGAAGAGCACAGAACCTGTGGGATGAAGCCTTTTTCTTCTAGATTTGCACAAAATGTCAAGATAGGAATTTCCCTTTTAATGTGAGATGAGACTGCCTTCTGTTTGGTAGTTTGATGCTGTATTTGAAGATCTCTAATCCTAGGTGTGCAGAAATAATTGAATGTGCATTATTTTTATTTGGTTAGATGGTGAAATCTATTTGGGCGATACAGACAATAAAATGAAGATTTGAATAGTTTGGATTAATATGTTGGAAAAATCTGCTAAGGCAAAATTAGAGATTCTTGGGACACAATGCATTTTAAACACTACAGTTCCACAGAACAATTTCCTATGCATTCTATGACAGATCTTGTGACACAGCTCATTTTATTTATTTATTTATTTTTAGAAAAAGAAAGAACAGGGAAAAAAATAAGAAAAGTGCAAACTCATTAATAAACTTTTCAACTGTGGAGGTAAAGACATTAAAATGAAATGTTGTTTTTCTTTTCATAAACATATTTTGTTGTTTTTTTTATTACATGGTCTATGTGCCTAGTCTTAGACATCAATAGACTAAAATAAATTACCTTAAAATTATTCTTGGGGCTAGAGAGATAGATTAGCAGTTAAGAACATTCCTTGCTCTTGCAGAGGACCCAACTTCAGTTCCTAGTAACCAAAAGGGGTGGTTTGCAACCACTTATAAGTCCAACTTCTTGAGGATCCAACACCTCTGGCCTTTGAGAGGACCTGCACCTACTGTCACATGTTTACACACACACACACACACACACACACACACACACACACACACACAAATACTATATATATTCTTTTGGTGTAGCAAGATGGTTTAGCAGACAAAAATGCTTGCTGCCAAGACTTTTAAGCTGAATTTGATTGTTGGGAATCATTATGGAAGGGGAGAAATGACTCTTGTGTTCACTCATACAATGTACACATATATATGTACACCATATATTTTTAATTGAGAATATTATTTTAATCTTGATTTTGTCATCTATGAAATTTAATAAATTTATTCTTAGTAAAAACAGACACTTGGCATGAATGAATAGGTGTTTTTTGCCCCTCCATTTCTAAGTGTTACATTCATTAAGCATTTATAAAACTTATTAAAAAACTTCATCAAATTTCCCCTTCCTACTACTGAAGCTTATAGATATGGCCTCACAACATTATGTTTAGGTGGGAGATGCAGAAAACATATAAAACTGTTTGTTTGCAGTACTCTCTAATTGAAGAGTTGAGAGAGGGGGCAATTCAGAAAGGAGGGACTGAAAAAATTAAACAGAATCTCTCAGGTTATATACAACATGGCTGCTGTGCCCAGTCAAAACTCAACCTTTTTTTCCCTTGCATGATAGTGAAGAGGAGAGGGGCACTTAATGGTATATAACTTTTAAACATTTATGGGTTTTATTTTTATTCATGGGGCCTACTGACAGTCTGAGTAAAGTGAGGCAATGGAATTCTGTTTCTTCCACAAAGGAACCACAGAGCATTTGGTTTCCCGGTGCTTTTAGCATGCTTTTTCTTCTAATAGTTCGGCAGTGCAGTTTCTGCTCACAAAGAAGTGCATCTCTAAAATAAAACAAGTGTACAAGAAATGCTCCGAGAAAAGGTTTCTTATGTGTTGTCTAGACTTGTGCTGGGTGACAGTGGTCATGTCTCTGTCAGGTTAATGTCTGATATTTTTTTGATACAATAAGTAGACAAATTAGTATATAAAATATGCATTTTTAAACACTTAATATTATAAAGACCAAATAGATTGAGGTAGTTTACAAAGACAGTTTATTAATGATCTCATGGCTTCTTCTGATTTATCTTGGATATCTCCAACTTAGAGTCCTGTCTCAGGGACTGGATGCTGACTCCTCACACACAGTGCAGAGAAGACCAGAGAGAAGCCGGGGTAGGTTGTTGAAAGCTGTCAGGAGTGTTGTGTTGTGCCAACTAAAGTGTGCAGAAAAGGAAGGAGGAAAAAGTGTTATATTCTATTTCTTCATCCTTTGGTGGGGTGACAAGTTCACAAGCGAACAGATCCCAAACCTTCTTGGGTGGGAGCTCTCCGTGCCATACTTTGTGCTTAATGGAACCTAGCCTCAGTATATGAAAAGTTGGTTGCACAAATGAGTGGATTGCAGACGTGCCTCCAGCTTCTCCGCTCATACCAATATTGATACCACTCCTGCCAGTAATGACACAGCGTCTTTGCCAGCCAGTTTTGGGCGCTGCATGTTTATGCATTAAATTGGACCAGAAGTGTCTTTAAAACAAAGAAGGAAACAATGGGAAGTGAGAGGCTGATGCCACACTCCGGGTACACAACTCAGACCCATAGCTCTTTGCACAGGGCTCTGACGCTTGGCTGCTGAAGGGAAGACACTCATGGGTAAGGCTAGGCAACACAGAACTCTAATGAACCACTTTCTCATTCACTCTTCTGCAAATAGCTATTCATATGCATGTTCAAAGAATGACATAGCACAATTGCTCAGGATGACAAAATTAACTAACAAAATCACTTGTGCAATAATTTCAGTGTGAACAAATTATCGAAAAAAGAAATACACAATATTCCTCATCTAATATGTTAAAAATGCTTGGTAAATCCCTGTATATGGCTCCTTTTTTTTCTTTTACATAAGATGACCAAACAAGCATTTTTAGGTGAGAGAACTCTGAGCCTTCTAAATTTCATTTCTGATTTGATACCCCTCCCCCAAACACATCATTAGCCTTAAAATGCAAAATCTTCCTCTGAACTCTAAATAGAAGTTAAAAATAGCATTTCATTCCCCAAAGCTTTAAATCCCACCTTGTTTTTAATCAGCTTTTCAGAGTGACTATGCAAGGTTACACAGACCCGACTGACTGATTTATGAATATAATTTTTGTTTTAATTGAAACAGCAACATTTAGGTTCCACCTTAACAGTGCACCTTAAAAGATTATCTCGGTTATTTCACAGGCACCGAGCCGGCACTAATAGTCCAAGGCAGATATTGAAAAGCAGCACAGGGCCAGGCAGATCTATTAGAAATTCCCATCCACGCGCCTCATACATATTGATTTCTGACACCAAGCAGCAGTGAAAGCCCCCGTGGGAATAATATATTTAGCAGGGTTCGCTGCGAGGAGGTCACAGAGTGCATACAGATTAGCTCCAGAGGACCAAGGCGCTAGTATTGGAGCCAAATGCTAGATTTTATATCATTTTAATCTGAACTTTTATAATCCTTTTAGTTCTTCTTTCTCTGCATGGCAGAGAGAAGGCTGCTTCACATGTATCATGCATCTTTTCCTTTATTCTTCCTATAAATGTGCAAATGCTGCTGTAATGGGGAGGAATGTTCCTTCAGCACAGGCAGCCCAGCCCAAGCCAGATTTGCTTTTATAAACGGTGGTCAATTCAGATGAAGACATCTTTATTTAAAGATTCCTTTCCGTGGGGGAGGGAAAAAAAAAATCACAAACCGGGATCTCAAGGGCTGAAACAGAAGCGTAGAACTTGCTCTCCTATTAAAAGACCCGTCACTCCCCTCCCCCTCTCGCTGACGCTGGAGCTTAATTGAGCAGAAGTTGCATTTATACTGTTACAGCTATGAAAACAAAAATCTAAACATTTTTTTAATTACCTTTCTGCTGGGGAGGGAACGCCTGCTTATTATGCAAAGAAGTGTTGTGACTGTCTCCGATAAAGGTGTCAGATGGGAGTCAAACACACATTTTGGAGACTGGAGAGAAGCCAGTGGTGCTAGAGGAGAGGTTAGAGTGGCCGCACTTTGACAGAAGGGGGAAATACGTTCAGACAACAAAGGAGAATGGGAGGCTTCACTCAACATACACAAAGGCTTATTGTCTCCCTGAGGCTGCATTTGAATTTTAGGTGCTCTATAAAAAGTTCCCATGATTACTAATAATCAGAAAAAGAAGTAGCTATATCTGTGAAGTGCCTTTTGAATCCATCTTATTTCCTCTGCTATCCTAAGTACGCATAAAAGCTGAGGACAGAAATGAAAATAGACATAGAGGAAGGACAGCCCCGGTGACAGCCTGGGCAACACAGGGGCAGTTACAGCATGCAAAAGGTACATCTGGGGTGTTTTATCAAGGAAGGGTTATCTTAGCAAAAAGGAAATAATTACAGCATTCAATTAGGACTAGAATTTTCCTTGTCAAATTATCTAACTAAAATATGCCAAACACATGACTTTTTCAGACCTGTCTCCTGTGATACCTGTGTATTTACTTTTGTTTTCTAGTATGTTCAAGCTGAGCACAAGCCAAGAAAAGAAAGCCACTCTATTCAGGGAAGGGAAGCAAAGAGCAATAAAATCTCAAAGTCAATTTTTAACAAACTTGGGAAAGTGAAAATCTTTTGGCAAATGCCTTTGTCAGAACTGCGTGGCTGATTGTTTCCTGAAAGCCAGATGACACTCACAGTGAGCTTCTAAGACGAACCTTGCAACAAGCATTGTTCTAAGCAACTGCAGAGGTCATAAGGTGGAGTACCTGGATGTTGGACCTATACACTTTCACTCAGCCCGCTAAAGCATTCAGATTCAAAAAGTAGAGGCCAGAATCTAAAGGATGCTGGACCAGGAAAGAATGTTTAATGAGGCAACTATTTGCAGAAATCTAAGGGACTCTGCAGAAGCTAGGCATTCCTATCTCTAGAAAAGGTGTGTGTGTGTGTGTGTGTGTGTGTGTGTGTGTGTGTGTGTGTGTGTGTATGACAGAGAGAGAGAGAGAGAGAGAGAGAGAGAGAGAGAGAGAGAGAGAGAGAGAGAGAGAGTTGGCTTCCTTCTAAACTCCAAATGTAACTCCGAATGTTTAGCATAATTCGTTGTGTTTGCTGGCTCTGAGTCCAGGATGGCAAATAAAGAACTAATGGAAGGGCCGGACCAGCAAAGGCATCAAACACTAACCCCAAGTCTCGTCTCCTTCTCCTCCCTTGTTTTCCCAGGGAGAAGAAGCCACTTCATTTGGTCACTTTCTGCAGCTCTTACCAACTTTTACAATACATGACTATGAGAGCTTATATTTCTCCTTATGCTCTTGGGCTCAGTGAAATTTTTCTGTTTGCAAAAAAAGAGATGGACTCCACTCTGAAATCCTAGAATAACCAAGGACAAGCTGAAGCCTGAGTGAACACCTGGGACCAGTGTCAGCCCTCTGTACAGGGCCAATCCCCCTCATCACAGACGGGGTGAAAATTCCCTGCTCGACCTAGGGAAAGGAGAACTTGATTATGTTATTATCCACTTTTCCCAATTGTCAGTGCATTTCTATATTTCCTTGTACATAGATGTTAGCCAATAATTTTGGCTGGTTTGAATAAATTATATTAGATAGAAGTTATACCAACAGGAGGGAGACCAAGAAATAATTGGCAAAAAAGCAAATGAAACAAAGAAAAAAATAGCAAGTTGTTCATTCAGCAGGTCTGTCTTCAAGGCAGCCAACACTCTGCTTGATTGCTTCTCTCTGGACTGGTCCCATCAGTGTCAGGGAGACAGCCTGAGACTGACAGAGCTGTTCATTTATTGTCTGAAGGGGGAGGGGCATATTTTTCCTCTCAAAAACAAGCCTAGGGAAGTGCAAGGCAAGGAAAGTACAAGTATTGATGGTTGGCCTCCTGATTTTGATTGGAGTTCCACTGCCCAGGTGTCAGTTAACAATTCACTTCCCTTTATTTTTTTTAACCCTAAGCCAACTACATGTCCCTGTCATATGATCCCAGCGTACACCAACTCTGCTAGCTGGTTGAAAGCTTACAAATTAAATTACTGCATTTCTTCTAACTTGCAGCTCTAGGCTTGCTTTAGTGGATACATTGCTTATTAGAGTAGGGAAGGTCCTCTTAAATTTCTAGCAGCTGCAAAGGAGTCACCTTCACAACCTGAAACTATAAACTTCCACACCTCCTGCCTGCACCACCTCAGCCACACTTCCACCAGGCTTAAAGTCACAATTAGGTGTATTCATTTTTGTCAGGTCAGTGTTTCACAGACTTTGGTGACATTCTTTCAGCACAAAAATGGTCTAGGACATTAGCAGGGGCCTTAGCATTGGCCTAACTTTCTCCCAGCATTGAACCACTGGTCAGAGTAAAGTTCTGATGCTATTGCCTGCTCTTTCTAGGGCTGGTTGGTGTCCCTGAAACTCCTAGGGCTGAGCAGCTAAAGAAAGTGAAGCCTTAGAAGGCGTTTTCCCATGGGCGTAAAATTAAGAGATTCTGGACTCTGAATAGACCAAGTAATCTTAAACATCCTTATGAACAGGCCCCTTCATGTTAATTACTTACACAAGTCTTCACTGAATTCACAAGGAGTGTGATAGTGCAATTTAAAAAAAAACGTTTTTTGGAAACAGAATGTTTGATTCCTGAAGTTAAGAGAATACACAACTAAAGTTGAAATTAAATGGAATTATTCCCAAAATTAATTTGCACTCCCAGCCTTCTCAGCTAAATATTTTATCTCCACAAAGAGCTTCACCATAATTGGCAACATGTGCAAGGGGATAGATGTGAAGGCATTATAAACCAATACACAAACTGTGTGTGTGTGTGTGTGTGTGTGTGTGTGTGTGTGTGTGTGTGTGTGTTTTACAATTCTAAATTCTGACAATGTCCACAGTACACGGGTGAGATTCAGGGAGGATACACAGATGCCTTTGTGAGAAAAAAAATCAGGGAAAAAGTCCCTTTTAGTTGGGGGCAAAAGCATGCATTTACTTTCAGTGGAAGTAGACACACTTAAATCCCTGCTGAGAGCTGGGGAGGGCTGGATGAGCTGTCTAGAAAGCATTTTCTCTCACTTTATAATGTTAGAAATTCTCGGACGGCAGTGTGCATTGCAATGCAAGGATTGTGCGGTGTAAGAGCACATCAGGGCATTGAGAAAGGTTTAATGTGTTCTCATTAGAGGAGCAGGGGCAGAGGGGGAAGGGAGGCGCCTTGGGGGACAGAGCTGAGCTCGAACACTCTGGGAAGCATTACAATTTTGTGCCTTCTCACTTCAACTCCCTCAATCCCTGAGCTTTACATAGCTGTTTCCCAGACAGTTCAGGAAAATGCCTCCCAAGCCTCGTGTAAAGAGAGCTATGTTGTATCTCGCTGCTTGCAGTTTAACAGTTTGTTTGCTTGGGCCTTTTAAATATTTCCTTCCTTCCTGGACAGACTCTAAAGAAAATAAATAAATAAACAAAAACCAAACCTTTTTCACATTCACTTCCAATCAACGAAAAAACCAGAAAGAAAAAAGAAGACAATTTGATAAATGCAAGACAATCTAAGCCTTTGGAGTTATAAACTCCACACAGCTGCCAGAGTGGGAAATCTGGCAGGAACAGCAAAGAGGGCTTTATATTCCAGAAATTTTTCATAGCTAGCTTGATAACTGTAACCCCCCAGCCACCAGCTTTTTTTTTTCCAGTTTGCTGTTTTTTTTTTCCTAAAAGAAAAAACAAACAAACAAAATTCTCCCCTTAAGAACATTTTCCATGTGCATTGTGAGTTTTAATTTGGAGAGAAAGCTATCCATGTAGAAAGGCTTTTTTCTTAGCCAGGAGTCAGCTTGTGATGAGTGTGACCATGAACCCTGAAGCCAGGGAACAAGCCAAGGATGAGTTTCTCCTTAGGTTTGGAATGCTGAACATACCTGGTAACCCTCTGCATGCATGCACTAACACTGGAATTTTGTTCTGAAGAAACATGGCTGGCAAGCTCTAATGACATGGCTTTCCAAAAATAGATTAATAAGCAAAGACATGGAAAATTCACCCCAAGCCATTTCCTTCTTAGGATTTGACATTTTCTCTAAACTTTTCCTGCTTGGGAATTGTTACAAGACTACAGATCATAGATATTGTATATAGATAGTCACACTGCTAGATCACTTCTTACAATACAGGTAGGCTGGAGTGTGTGCCATCATCCTGCATATCTTGCTTTGGTGACTTTCCTAGGTATGTGCACTTGAAGAGTTATGCTTACCACTGCTACCCAGCTATTTATTATAAAAGGCTGTCAAATATTTCAAATGGGAAACTGAGGTTCCTTCCTTTGAGTGCCTACTGTCATTAATGAAAATGTGGAAACAGGCTCAGAAGAAAACTTGCGAACAGGTTTAGTAGAGTTGAGAGAAAAACACCAGGGTAGACTGCATGTCTTAGCAGCAGCCAGGAGGAAGGACGGAGATGGAAAAGGGGAAAAGAGAATGATATTGCTTTTCAACCTGGTCCAAAATAGCAGACAACTTCAGCCATGGAGGTCAGTAAGCAGCCTCATGGCAGAGAGCAGGGAGAGTGTCAGGGAACAAATGAGAAAGCCCAGAGTGTTATAGAAAGCATAACCAGGTTCTGGACAGTATCCAGAAGAGAAGGAAAACTGCAGTGCTACACAATGGAAGCTTTGCGAACAGTTATACAGGAGAGGGGGTCAGGGAGGGGGGGTGTTTACTACACTATCTCATTAAGGGGATAATTATTCCTCCTGACTCTTTGAGCATGTCTTCAGGTGAATCAGATTTCTTGCAGGGAAGGGGTCATGGGTGGGGCGGGGGAGGCTGGACTCCTGGCCAGATGATTGACAAGCCTAGCTGGATTAACTCTTGAGGGAAGAGACAATAAAATGTGATGTACTCATCTTTGAAGCAGACTAGAATGTCATGTCTTTGCCCAGGGTCAGAAGCAGATACTAGGCTTTGAACCAGGAGGCCTGAGCAGTGGCCAAGGTGATGTCTGCCTTTCTAGTTTTACCAGGGAAATCAGAAATGT